ATTTAACAAATGCCGCCAGTGGGGTGGGGCCGGTGGGCACTTCTCGCCCCCTCCTTCCCCTCATTGGCGGGCCCGAGCCCCGGCGCGGGCAGGAGCTGACACCGACCTGCCAAGTTCCCGTGGCCAGAGCCCCCTGGGGACGCGGCGGCCGCGCTCAAAGGCCTGGCTGTAAAGGTCACAGGCGGTCTATGGGGCTGCACTGAATGGGCTCCCGGAGGTAAACAGACTCTTAACTTTCAACTTGGCCTTGACCTTCCTGGAGGTGTCTGGCGGGTATGTAAAGGAGCAGCTGAGGCTTTCAGCGCGTTTGGCTGGGTCTGTAAAAGAGGCTGAGAGCAGCGGGGAGGTTCAGGGATCAGGGAGGGTCTGCCTGGAGGCTCCCAGCAGGACACAAAGGCGCCTCTGGGACTAGGGAAAGGGCTGGCTCAGCCCAGATCGTCTGGGAGGTCGGGATGCCGGGGGTGTCCTGAGACCTCAGTCTGGAACTCATGTAGAGCCCCAGGGAGGTTTGGGGGACTCCGAGTCTTAGTTTCTCCATGTGGGAACCTCAAACTTACTCAGGGCTGGAGAGAGGCAAGTGCGAAGTGATCAGTACTCTTTAGGGCAACTGTCCTTTTCTTTTAAAATAAAAACACGTGGTTATAATTCATTAGAAACAGATACACATACAGAAATATAAATAGAACTCGTATTTATTCAGTTTATAAAATGCTTTCATATGCAAAATCTCATTTAATCTTCACATTCCCGCAAAGCAGGAATTATTGTCCCTATAAGGAGAGAGATAATTTTTACAGAGAGGGAGACTTAATCCTACTTCATCTAGACAGACTTCAATTGATGCCTACCATTTGTCACAGACAGATGCCCACACATATACGTACAGGAAATGGGGAGCACACGCTCACATGTCAATAAATATGACATTCAGAACTGTTCCCTGGGATTTAGTAGATGCTAAGTAAATTGTAGAGTAAAACAAAAACAAAAACCCATAGTATTTATTTGTATTGAAATGTATCTGTTTACCTAGGGTTCTCCTGCACAGCTGGTGCCCCTCTCCAGGACAAGGATTGAATTGGCCATCTCCTCATTCTACAGTGATACAGTGTTATGAGCACTTAGCTGCTTGTTTCCATGGACATGCATAAGAAAGAACACCACATATCCAAAAAGCACAGCGGCAGGCAATGTTACTACGAATCTTTCAATATTTTTACTTAATTAATTTTCCTTCTAAAAATAGATGAGATTGATGTACAGTAAAGTGCAGAAATATCAAGTATACAGCTTGAATGTTCACAGTGAACACACCCATGTAACTAGCCTGCAGATTGAGATTGAGAACATTTCCTGCACCCCAGAAGGCTTCCTCATGTCACCTCCCTGTCAGGAGCACCTCCCCAGGGTAATCTCTTTTGACCCCTATTACCATGGCTTAATTTTGCCCGTTCTTGACCTACATAGAAATAGAGTCACACAAAAGTTACTCTTTTGTGTTTGGCTTCTTCCATCCACATATTTGTGTGATTCATTCGTGTTGTGTGTAGCAGTCATCTTTTTATTGCTGTGTAGTACTCCATTTAAAAAATTATAGCAAATTAAAATAAAAAATATACAAAACTAAAATTTATTTACCTATTTACTACTGATAGACCTTTACGTTGTTTCTATTTTTGAGCTGTAATGAATAAAGCTGCTTTGGACATTCTAATACCTGCCTTTTGGTGGACATAAACATTCATTCTGTTGGTTATATGCCCAGGCAATGGAATTGCTAGGTCATAGGGTTTGATTATGATTATTTATTTTTTAAATTTAGGGATTTATTCATGCCTGTACTGTCATCTACCAAATAAAAACCAGTGAAAATTTTAAGTCTTTATGTAAAAATCATGGTATTTCTGCCTTTCATAATTAGACAAGCAAGAAACTATGATAAGAAACTGGGAAGCATTGAAGAGCATTTCAGATTTTCACTGAAAGCATCTTTGCTGTAGACACATTTGCCACACACATTTTTTTCCATAAACATTTTTGCCACAGAACTAATTGGCCATAAGGCAATCTTGCTGTAAAAAAAGATAAAACAAGTGGTTGACAATTTGATTTTTTATTTGGTTTCATTTTTCTATTGAGAAATCAATGAACTGCCTTCGCAGACTTCATATATTTAAAGTAGTTGCTAGTTTGGTTTAATTTCTCCATTGATGAAGTTCTCACAGTTACTTTAATTTTTATATCACATATAAATGACAAGTAGATGTGATTGTGGTCTTAAAATAGCATTTATTTCAGAGGACGATGATTTGCCCCAAGAGTTGGTTTCTTACTTTGAAACACAACTACAGGCATATCTCATTTTATTGCATTTCACAGATAATTGCATTTTTTACAAATTGAAGGTAAGGCTCTCCATCAGCAAAAAGATTATGACTCACTGAAGGCTCAGGTGATGGTTAGTATTTTTTATTAATAAAGAAATTTTAAATTAAGGTATGTACATTTTTAAAGACATAATGCTATAGCCCTTATACTTAACTAGACTACAGTCTAGTATAAACATAACTTTTATGTGCATGGGGAAACCAAAAAATTCATAACTTGCCTTATTGTGATATTCACTTTATTACAGTGGTTTGAAACCAAACCCAAAATATCTCTGAGGTATGCCTGTCAATTGGGAGGAGAAAGAGAGGCCGGGGGAACAGAGATTGAACCCACATTTCCCATAGAACAAAGACAAGTGCTTAGATATAATGCACAAAATAAAATCAGTTATTTGTGCAGTATTGCCATAAATCTACACACATTTTAAGTATATTCAAATATTTTGCATTTCACAATAAAGTTTTTAAATTTTATGTCCCTTTAATGTCCCTCTTATTTTTTGTGATTTTATCTTTCTTTGTGGCAAAATTACCTTACGGTCAATTAGTTCTGTGGTGAAAATGTTTGCAGCAAAGATGCTGTAGCAAAAGTACCTTGAACTACCGAAGAAACATCTCCTCACTCTACTCTCATGTTTTCAAATACAGTAAAACCTAGTGAGGATTTTGTGCTTGGGGTCTTCAATTATAAGCAGTGTTCATTGAGAGTAATCTAGAATCTTCACTACAGCCTTCAACTCCAATTTGCATGGGCCCTTTCCCTGAAAGTTGGCTCAAGTTCAGGTTCAGGTTGGTGAGTGAGCATGGCTGAGCCCACGTAGAACTCAGAGTGGTCTGTTCTATATAATTTCCATGACCCGAGTACAAAATGGAATAGTTCCTGTCTTCTCTGGGAAAACTAGGGCTTCTAGAAAAAGTGGACTCAGAAGGATTTGATTTAGGAGGGGTAGTGAAGGAAACAGAAAACCTCTGAAGGCAGATTTGTACAACGAAGTGATCTGAGTCTTCTGCATTGCCCTGCACCATAGGCCCCAAACAGAAGGGCCTTAAGCAATTCCTCCAGTGGTTGGGGCTCGCACTTCCATCTCCCTTTCCTTCTAAGGACATTTAAAGCCTGGAGGAAGCAGACAGGGGTCCCGGGCTTTCGATTCACTCAGCTTGAGTAGAAAGAAGTGTGCCAGTGCTGGGGAAGTTTCCTGGGCCTCTTGGGACATAAAAGGAGGACTGCAGGGCACAGAGGCTGGGCATCTTCACACGGGCCAGGCTCCCATGTTCTTGGGGTCCAGAACCCCCACAACTAGTTCATGGCCAGTTAGCCAGGCTTGGCTTCCTGGAAATTCCTTAGATCTCAGAAAAGGGGGTAGGATTCTATTTTCCAACTGTTACTTAAGGATATAAGATCCTCTCCCATCCCCTCCTTCAACTTCTCTTTTCCTCTTTGTGCTGCCATCCCTGGGTCTTGTCTTTCTGTCTCTGCCTCTGTCTGAATATATGTCATGTGTGTCCTCTTTCCCCACCCTTAAATAGAAATCCAGATCCCCTTTCACAGGCCAGGTCTAGAAGCGCCATTTCTCCTTCAGATCTGAACGTTGCGTGTCACGGGCTCCACATTTCACGGGGTCTCCTTCTTTGGAGCTCTGTCTCACTCCCTCTTCTTCCACCCCACCCGGAATCCGCCTAGGCCGTAGCTGGGGTCCCTGGGGAAGGGGCGTCCCAGGCACTTCCCTGGGTTGGGAGCAGCTTATTACAGCGCTTCCGGGATGGGAGGGGCATTTGGGGTGAACTGGGATGCTAGTACCCAGAACCCAAAGCAAGGGGCTCCCAGAAATACCCTTTAATCCCCATTTCCCTGCATTCTGCGCTCACATACTCCCGGGTTCCCCTTTCAGGCCCAGAGCGGCCTCCCAGCCCCACCCCCGATTCCCCTTCCCCCCACGAGATGGACACTTTATAGGGAGAGCTTTTTATTCTCTCGTTAAACCTGCCAAAGCACAGGAGGCAGAGCCAGGGAGGGAGAGGAGGCCACGGAGGTGGGGGCGGGCTCTGTGTCCCCTCTTCCTCCCTCCCTCCCTCTGCCTCCCACTTGTCCCCGCCCCAGGACGCTGAGTGAGAGAGGGAGAAAGGGAGAGAGGGAGGAAGGG